CACGTAGAAGATTGTTAGATATTATAATGGATTTTCACTGTGGCAAAAACTTGTATATCCTAAAGGTACTTAAAGAGCAGCTTGATTTATTTGAGCGCACAATAACGTAAAGTTCGTTTTGTAACAGAAATAAATAACGTAGGTACTATTTTTATCAAAAGCATCATTGCGAAAATTTCAAGATAAATCACCAGTTTGGTTTCTCAATTTGTGGATGATATGTTATTTTGCAGGTTGCAACTGCCTACCAACATTATAAATATAGGATTTCTCGTGTAATGATCCATGTTTTATTTTGCAAAATTTCATATAACCATAATAATAGTACTTAAATGACTAGGTAAAGTTGTTTTGAGTAATTATTCTTCATGGAATGTTTCATTACCAGCGTTTCAAAATTATTTTAGTGCACAATGCGAGAAACTTTTTACTTTTTGATCAATAGGTCTGATTAACATTCTCCTGATCACTCGTCCCGTAACCAGTTTTCCATTTAACTTGCATCAAAACAATTTCAAAATCAATAAATGATTATGACGCTGAAACGTTAGTTTTCAAAAACATTCGCATTATTGAAGCTTTTTGAACAATGTTCGTTGTTTTGTTTAAAAAGCATTATCAGATGCATTTTTGCGCTGAAATGTTGACGTATTTAAACTAGATACTCTGTAACATGTGATAGGTAAAAAATGAGACTACAAAAATATAAGTCCTCCATTCTGCTAAATATATAAAATGATAATGTATTTCCAACTTAAACGAGACAACAGGAGATGAAATGCATTTGCATGCCACCAAATGAGTCAAGTTCACCAGAATCGTGGCATTCATAATGAGTATCTACATTAATATCTTACAAATTGTAAAACAAGAATTGCATAGTAATAAATTTGCATTTAAATGAATTATATTCTATTTGGTTGTTATTAGTCACATTACATTGGGTATTACCGGAGTTATTGAAAGGCCTTTCGAATATGTCTTACTCTGCTATGTATTTATTGCTTTCCCGTTAACACTAAATCTTATTAGTTCATGCCACTTGGCTAGTTGACTTTGCTGCGATTTTTATTTCATTTCTACCCAACTAAATGTGAATTTATGTTGCCGTTGATAGAAAAATAAATCGCGATAGACATGCTATTTGTGAAAGGTAATAATATGAGAAAGGGCATTGCGGACTGTTACTAAGTAATTTACCTGCATCGACTGGAACCTATTTGAGCCAAAAACTCAAGCTTTTCAATTCCAAAAATTCAAAAACTTTTCCGATTTGAAATCTGCAAACCACTCAACTGCAACTAACTCAAAAAACGAAATTTTTAACTGCAGAATAGTGAACGAAGAAGTTTAAAATTTCGATTGCACACTCGTGTGTGGTACCTGATTGTTCCCAAAATTAATTCAGAGCTGTAGATTTATTACTTTCAAATTGTTTCGTTAGCAGTTTGATGGTTAAAAAATAAAATATCTAGTAAAACTCAGTTATTTTATTGTCCATGATTTTAACCTTAAGTGGCTTGATGATTGATAAATGTTAATTCTGGAACAGTTGAACAAATATCATCAGCACTTTACCTCAACATATGAGACCTTACAGATCACGATAACTGTGATCACTAGTCTGTTACTGCATAAAGCACTGAATAAAAAATTGGTTTAATTTTATCAAGTTTTACGGGAACTAGCAAATATGTAAAACCCGATTAGCCCTATGTTGCACACAAAATACATTTAGTTAGAACATAGGAGAAATTAGATGTAGGTTTTTCGTAGATTAGCCGATTGATTGATTAAACGGCTTGAAGTTGCAAAGTGAACAAACTGCGAGGTAAGTACAAGACAGAAACCCAGATCCAAAAAACATGTCAAACGTGACTGGCGCGTACATTTTGAAAGCACTTACTGCTTTAGGCTCCTACTGCTAAAGCACAATCATTCAAAATGGATTAGAGTAATATATTAAAAGTAAAGGTAGGTGTATTGTTATTTTGCCTACTCTTCATCCGCGAAGAACCAGCAAATCTGCCTTAGTCATCGACAAAATATTACGTTGTGTTTTGATCACCTATGTTTATTATTTTCTAGTTCTAGACTTAAAGAAATGCGGGCTGTCTTATTGAGCTTTAGGGAAATCACAAAGACAAACAGAGGGAAAAATCAAATATTACAAAACTGTTTGCACTGGCAATATAAATATTCTGAATACCAAACATTATCCGTAATACCAGCGCAATAATGTGTTTTCGATTCATTAAAAATGTGAATTTATTTCCGGGGGCGAGGTAACAGTTCGGTCTCTTCCTAGTTGGAATTATTATTCTAATTGCATTAAAAGTGTGTAAGTCATTAGAACAAAACATTATGACACGAAATACTTGAGGCATTATGTAACATTACAGCAAATTATTTCTGCACAGTCTTGTTAAAATTAATTAAATTTGGAAAATTGTTGACCGACTGCTGTCTATAATAATCGCAATTTTGCTACAGCAGATTATATCATAGACATTAGCGCTTTAATGTAAATTGAATGTCGTTTTTTCAAGGTGCTTAAGAGAACCAGTATTATTGGAGACTAGCATCTATATAATTACGCACATTTGGAGTCGGAAAAACGCCACAGCGTGTTTCGAGACCATTTGCTCAAAAGGTCTTTAGAAGCGATTAAATTTTGACAAAATGATTAATAACCACTAAATCATTCCAACAATTGTGCGTAATTATCAACTAAGAATTGTTTTTGGTAATGATAGGGTCCAACAAAGCCTTTTAATGCAGAGGCAGGCAGAAGGTTTAAGAAAATTAGACTCCTGTCCTTAGACATCGGTCTTCACCTGCTTAAAAATAAGAGTCTCCTTGATTTAAACCGACAAGCTATGGGAATTTATGGCGGAGGAGAATGAAGAATCCACATAGAATTTCGGTCTAAGTAGAAGTTCAAGAAACTGAAGCAGGAAATGTTAATATAGTAGAGCGTGCACAGCTATGAAGATTGTAAAAATTGAAAAGAAAACTACTGCAATTTTAACGCCAGTGTGCTAAATTCGAAGAACCGCATTGAAACTACACTAAATGCATTAGAGTCGCATTCAAATGAGATCCGAGAATTCCAAATGTTAAAGGGCATAATTAAACACCGTTTTTTCGCGATTGGTGCATTTTAAATAAGCCAGATCGTGTTTTAAAGAATATTTCCGTGACAATGTAACAGTGACACAATACGGGCGTGAGGACCCCATAAAGATTACCTGATCTACATATTTTAGCTTAACATCCTTGTCGTGAAGCAGCTACAAACATTTCGTCTTCAAATTTGCATGAGTTTACAACTTTCCTATTTTCTAACTGTGAATGCAGTTTTTTTCTAGCAACTAAACTAGGTCAAGTTATCTCAGGAATTTAGATGTAAGCCAAACGGATAGCTTTTCATGTTCTTATGCATAGATTAGATAAAGGTACAAGAATTATCGAGTGCAGAAAAGATTGGAATCATTTTATCAGCGTAATAGCCAAAACAACAGATTGCACTTTAGAAGAGATGGTGAGGCCATAGACTTTATAATATGGGAAAAAAACCTGGGGATGAAGATGCCCGGTTACAACGAATGGTCCGATTTTCGGGAAGCAATAAAGAATAAAAATATGTGAAATTATCATGCATCGCATGCCAGCTTTTAAGGAATCTACGAGAAGTGTCTTTTACATCTTTAATAAATATTATGCTAAGGCACTTTGATCTGCACATTGGAGCTTGGCAGAGTTTGTTTTAATTAAAAGTTGGTGTACAGCAACGTTGACTTTGTACAACGCTTGCCCAAGGCCATGGAATTCATAATTATATCGCCTTTGAGCTTCAAAAGCAAAATATGACAAAGAAATGAGAAAGACGCTCGCTTGCAATTTACTCAAATGCATGTCCTGGGGGTCTTCAGTACACCGTACTAATCCCAATGATGACGAACATAACGGATATCTATGCGTAATGAAATAATTACGATTTCTATTCCGCAATGCAGTGTTTGCTGATAATTTATTCATTATTGTAAAGAGTCTTGAACTGTTTTCAATGCGATGTCTTTCAAATTATATTTACCATCAGTCGAAAATTGAGCTTAGGAAATGGCACATCAAACTTAACACTTTCTGAACTTCATTCAATCAAGTGCGCGTTAATGTTTTAAAATTTTTATTTACTTTTGTCTTCAGCAGCTGTTCAACCCACCTCCTTTACTACGAAGAAGCTTTTGAAACCCCATTGAAGCCTCCATAGCTGAAATGGATATTTCGTCTCTTAACTTGAAAATTATCCAAACGAAGCACAACGTTATGACACTAGCACTCCGTAAATAGCTGTTCTTTCTTAAATATCAAAAGCTCAATTGAAAATGAAATAAGTTAATGTAACCCGTAAATTCAGCGATGTCAAAAATATCTCCTAGAAAAAGCTCTATTTACAATTAAACCCATGGTAATTGAAGAATAAAGTCAGTATCTACAAGCAAGGAAAACATTTGGGTGATTGGTGGTGAAAGAAAATTTTGAGAAAGAAGTATCTGCTAGTTTTCAATATTTTGAAGCGTATAGATCACTAATTAACTAGGAAGTGGTGAAACTTGAAGCATACTTTTGTACTTGTTATCTAGTTTTAAATTTTTGTTGTTGTTTTTGTCTCTGTTTTAGGATCTAAGTATTATAGTAAGTAAGTTTTAGTCCTTTTGTACAGGCAAACTAGTTTCACAGCAATGTGACTTGTTGTAATTTTTGTACTGGTTTAAATACATAAATAAATAAATATTTTTCTCGTACGCTCCAAGTGAACCCTTGTAACCCCTTAAAAGAAAAGTCCCTATATCCTTAAAGCCCTATAAATTCTGAGATTTTCGTTCCCGTGCAATGTCACATAAAACAAGTTCTTCGTTGGCCAGTGTCGAAGTTTTCCAGCCTGCCTCGTATCGAATTTAAAAAATTTGAGATATTTATCTACTTGAGAATAGTTTCTTTTGCCAATCTGTAGATGGGTTTTAAAATGTGCGATATCTATTTTCCGTGTTCGCAAGTGTTGCTCTTCATTTCCTAACCTTTGATTAAGCCAACGAATAACATCCAAAATGGTGAGTTTTGCATAGTAAATGTCAGGGCTTTCCCGATAAATCCCGTTGTTATCATTATGCTTTAGACACAGTATTTGGATAGATTCATTCCCAGCCGCACCAGCATCAATTTCGATGGTTTTCGTGTCGGTCGGTCAACAAACGACTTATACGATGTCCAGCTGGATGATGAAGATGATGCTCTCCACCGAATATTTTTAAATACTGCCAGGAAAGCGAACTATTTGGTAAACTATAAGAAACGGTAACTTGAGAGCATTATGTTATAACTCGGAATGTGGCAATCAAATTCTTGAAGGATTTCAGATGTGCTGAATATTAAGCATTCAAACATGATTATTTCTAATAAAAAGCGCTCAGCCCGTTATATACCTAAGACATCTCCCTGGCCTGTTAAGGCCAGAAAGCAGCCTTTGCTACATCAGCCGCACGCTGCACTTGACATGCCCAATATCAACCAAGTGGAGACACATATGTGTAAGTAAAACTCATAAACTGGTGAGTTTTTCGAGTTTTTGGATCGTGGAAGGAATTTTTTCCAAGGGAAAGAACTTTTTTTCTTTCTTTCATCCGAACGATCTAAAAGCGCCAAAAACTACCAGTATCGTCAGTTTTTCTTTTGTAGAAAATCTTCTAGAAAGTAAAATAGCTTAATTCATATCAAATAGTAATTTTCAAATTATTACTTGATATCAACTTACTTCAAAAGTTTTAGATCAAGGAAAGTATGCGTCTTAAAAGAAAGCTTTTAAGGTCCTGCAAGCCCCAGGAGCCTTTAAAAGCAATAACATCAATTTTGAATCATCCTGTATTTTCCAAAAGTGTAACAAGTCATACCAACATTCTACTGAAACAAGAAACAGTTAACTGCAGAAGTAATGTGTAAATCCATTTAACGTTGTGTTTTTTGGAAAAAAGCTCAGACTCCTAAATTTTTATTGTTAAATGTGTTTTTTATGATACATTTATTTATACACGGTGATTCTTATTTAAATTTTCGGGTTTCAAATCGGTTAAATTAACGGAACGTAAAACAAATCGACCGTGATCGTCCTTTCATATGTCAAAAGGTGGTAATTAGAATAGAAGCTGAATGCAGAGAATTTGGTCATGCAGATTTGCGTAAATCTAGATGTTTGGCTCCAGGTGAAAATGAACAACTTGGCGTTTTACCTTATTGGGGATTGGGGCGAATCTGCACAAGCAGAAATATATTGTTCTCGAATAATTCGAAAACAAAAATATCATCTCTATAAAGTTATTCTAAGGCAAGAGTTATTTGTAGATGATTTGCCAAATGCAAAATATGTGCAATCTAGACAATAATTTAGTAAAAAACGTTTTTTTTTCGATAAAGCTACGTTCTGTTTGAATGATTATGTGAACTTACAAAGTTGTCGATATTGGAAACTGAAAATCCGCATTCACAGCCAGTATCCTCAAAAAATAAATGGGATGAAGAGTAATATGACAAGTTTTCTTTGAACAGGCTCTAACTGAACAAGTATATCAAGAATTTCTCCAGCTTGAATTAATTCCAGCGTCGGTGTGTCTTTATATCAAAATCAATTAGAGCCAGACTCTCCTGACAAAGATGGTGCTCCTCCACACTATGCACGTAAATTTTTTAATAAAACTTTTCCCAATCGGTAGATAAGAAGCTGAGGACCTACTTAATGGCCTCCTGGACCGCCAGACCTAACTCCAATAAATTTATTTTTGTGGAATTTAGACATTACTTCTGGGACTCACTGTATACAAAATTCCATTTAATGCTAAATTATCTGGATGTATGATGCTAACATATAAACTACGTTACAAATAGATAGACACGTTATTGATTGGGGACGAAAAGGACAAATTGCCACAATATTTTTTGGTGAGGTCCATTTATGGAGCTCTAGAAATGGAGAAATTGCTTACACAAACACTGGGAGAACCGTTTGTGACTGTCTCAAATGGAATCGAACCGGCAGTCGAATTGCAGTATCGAGAACCAAATCTGGCATAAGCATTATCGATGGTGCAACTTTAAAAGTAAGTGTAGATCAGTTGAAAACTGGGGCGGATCCAGCTTTCCAGTCAAGGAAACAGTCAATGATATAGAAATGGATATTTGATATCGTTGGATAGAGAATTGAAATTTCGATTCAGTCAAGACAACATGAGTGACGAAATTCGAGTAGTTTTGACCCAGAAAGCGAAATTTAAATATTAGATACTTAGGTGCAAGATTATGCCAAAATTTCATGTTTTCCGTCTTGTGTTTGCTCATTTCTCGGAAGTTTAATGAGCACGAACGCTGATTTTTACATCATTCCGGAGAGAACTAAATGCCCTTTGTTGAAAGGGGACCATTTATAAGAAAATGTTGACAGTTTTCTCAAAAAAGTCTCGATTTCAAGAAGTTTTAAATTAGCGTGTTTTTTTTAAGTTGCAAAATCGACTCAAACATGACGCTGCTTTTTCCAAAGTTTCTCAATCCCCATATGAGTCACGGAATTCGTTTTGGAATCGTCGGATAGAGAATTGAAACTTCGATTCAGTCATGACAACATGAGTGAAGAAAATCGAGTAGTTTTGACCCAGAAAACGAAATTTGAATATCAGACACTTAGGTGCAAGATTATGCCAAAATTTAATGTTTTCCGTCCCGTTCTTGCGCATTTCTCGGAAGCAAAATGAGCAAGAACGCGCCTTTTTACATCGTTCCAGAGAGAACTAAGTGGCCTTTTTAGAAAGTGAACCATCGATAAGGAAATGTTGGCAGTTTTCTCAAAAAAGTCTTGATTTTAAGAAGTTTTAGATTGGCGTGTTTTTATTTAAGTTGCAAAATCGACTCAAACATGACGCTGGTTTTTTCAAAGTTTCTCAATCCTTATATGAGTCACAGAATTCGTTTTGGAATCCTCGGATAGAGAATTGAAACTTCGATTCAGTCATAACAACATGATTGAAGAAAATCGAGTAGTTTTGACCCAGAAAGCGAAATTTGCATATCTAACATTTAGGTGTAAATAGTATGCCAAAATTTCATGTTTTCCTGTCCGTTTTTACTATGAACATGACCCCCGCTGGATCCGCCCTTTAGTTGAAAAGTAAACATATTAAATGAATGTACCAGTAACTGAAACGTTTATATTGTAATAAGCACTAATAAATATTGCTCCAGATCCATGAAACAGTAACGTGTCCCTGTCGCACCTGTAAAGTAACAGCTTTTGAGTGGACAAAAAATAACAATATTATTGCGGGATGTTCTACAGGCTCCATAAGTGTAATAGGCGTAACAGAGATAAAGTACGCTTGTCGAATTGTAAATGATCCGATTATCGACTTACAACTATCGTGCGATGAGACCTATCTGATGGTTGGCACAAAGAATAATGATTTACATATTTTCCAATGGCCTATTGAACTAAATGGGGTACCAAAATCAGCTTTTTTATTTCATAGTCATAAGTTCCGAAAGGTAACCAAAATTGTATCTTCAAATATAAATTCCTCAAAAGCGATTTTTCCTAACTTCTTAGAGGACCGAGCCTTAATACATTAATTTTTTTGAACTAATATATTATAGTGTGCAGCATGGCATCCATGGAAAAATTCTATTTTAGTCATAGGATATATACCCGATAACAAAATATCCGTATGGAACATCAACTCTAGGAAATGTATTGATTATAGCACTGTTGAGCCATTGTTTAAGAAAGCTTCAGATTGTATTTTAGATTATCTTACTTTCTGTCCGATGTCTGGAGAACTTGTGGTAAATGATACTGAAAATGTCACATTATTTTCATTTCAATAATGGCTTCATATTGCAGGTCAGTTTTTACTATGAAAACTCTGACTCCGATGAAGATAATGGATGTAACTTTCTAACTGTATTCAGTGATTTACACACTCGCGTGGATGAGATTCGATATCATGTGGGAAGGGTGCCTTATGCACTTTGGAATCAACATGGAACAAAGTTAGGTAGGATGCGCAAATAGTTCATTTGATTCAAGTGTTACTTCGTAATGTTTCAGCAACTTTAAGCACGGATGAAAATCTCGTTATATGGGACTTCTTTGGAAAAGAATCAAAAGCTAGAATTCATGCCATAAAGAAAGCTGCGAAATTCCCTGGCATTTTTGATTCTCGGTTTCAATTTGGATCGTTTTTAAGATGATAATATTTATACATTGTTTCCTGTATTTTATTTTAGCATAGTTTCGTTGTTTCTGACTGTACTGGATTTAAATGTCAACTTTTTGGCTACCTATATTGCTGGATCTATTTCGAGCCACTAACGTTAAATTTCGAATAATGCACATATTTATTGGTTATTCAGCGTGAGCACCTACTTCCAACTAAATCAGCTATAATTGTTATTGAAATAAAATCTAATGTAGTTGTAGTTGTAGAATGCGTTTTTGCTGTAGAAGTGTTTATTTATAAATTGCCAACAAATAGGACGTCTTTTGGGTATTTTCTAAGGGAAGAACAGAAACCGATCACATATAAGATGGTTGATCCACATTTGGTCAAAAAAATATTTTTGTGCAAGGAGGTTATTTAGCAGCAGCCCTCTAAATGAAGTAAAGAACAAGTAAATGCTTCCAAAAAGTCATCGTTTGAGAACCAGTTTCCTTAGCAGCAATCTTATTGCATGATTATGTAACAATCTACAATGCGCACATTAAGCCATTAATATGGTATAGTAGGTATCGTGAGTATGGGGCTATTACTTTCTTTAGCATCGAACCTGTTTGGACTACACTTGCTTTATCCATTACTTCTATTTCATAGATTCGTGAGTCAAGGTTAAGGAAAAATTTGCGTCTGAAATGGCGAAAGTCAATAACATTTGTTTTAATTTGCGCTTAGCCTATCATTGTTCGCGTTAGTGGGTATTAATCGCTTAAATATGCATCATTTACCCACTTTAAGTTGATTTACTTGTTTTAAAAATTTAATTATAAACTTTGCTCCAAAAGTGCTTCTTCGAATATACTTTTGGGTGTGAGAATTCGCTAATGTACGTGTCTTGGCAGTTTTTCTTTAATGGCTCTCGGCTGGGAGATTTGGACATTTGCACTGCAAAGCAGTAGCGTTATTGAAACTAGTAAATTTATAGGGTTTTTATACCGTCGTGGAAAAGAGCGTTTTTCCAAGGTTTTGCAATGTTCAGTGGTGGCACCCCTGCAGAGCTTCAAAGCTCGAAAAGCTCTCCAGAAAAGTGAGTGTTCCCAGGGGCGGATCCAGCTTTAAATTCAGGGGGGGGG